CCATTTAAAGCCATGTTGAAGGAACTGAAGCAGGTTCTGGTTCATCATCAGAAAATATTCAGTTATAGAATCATGTCGTTTTTCAAAATAAGAAAGGTCGTGAAACCTTGCTTTAGAGGCTAGCAGAATCGTTAACCATCGTATAGCTCGGTGAGGCATGCAGTACGGAAGAGGTAGGTACCTAAAATACATGGTGTTACCAAGTCTTATGTGTATAAAAATGTTGAAGATACACTGTCTTAAACTCGACATGTAAGTTTGTTTGTAAAAACCAGAATGTAGTGTAAATTTAGTTTGTAGACTGATATCTGCATTTGTGCGGCATTTTCATTGTGGTAAACGAAATAATAATTTGATCTAAGTAAGAGTTGTTTTCTTCTTCCTGATTTGTAAAAAATCCTTACGTGATAGAAAAACGAATATTATTGTGAATCCGTTATTAAAACCAAAACAACTTTTATGAAATTTATATTCGCAGGCCTGTGTAATTAAAGTAGTCACATGTACTGGTACTGATGTGTTATCATATCTAGAATGTGATAATAACTCAAAGCAATACAACCAAGATCAAGAAGAATTATACAAGTTTATATAATGTTTAAAATCCTATGAAACCGAAAGTTGTGAAAATCTGTTATGTAGGCAAATCATTTACATACAATCAAGATCTCATGCTTATAAGTTGTGTTCTTTATGAGTATATGAACATTTTCATAATATTGTGAAACGGAATGTAAAACTATTTAAAAACGCACAGTGAAACTGTTATTGTTCCTGTAAATCGCCTGTTTAATAAGTTTTTATTGAGAATACTTGTATTCACGAAATACAGAATTATTTCTCGCTGGGCAGTATATAGCTGATAAAGTAAGATCGTCTGTTATTTTGTGAATCGTTTATTTGTTAAGCACAAAGCTACACAATGGGCTATATGTGCTGTGCCCACTACAAGTATCGAAACCGAATTATTAGTGTTCTAAACTTTCAGGTTTCCGCTGAGCCACGAGAAGGGAGGGGGCTTTGGGATAGGGTGGCGTGTTTCTTACAAACGTTCCGTGTCTCGTGTCTAGCTTTTTAACTTGAGAATCATGAATAAACCTTGGCGTAACTTTAATTTATTAAAACAGGATATTCCCCAACTTAATTGTGATTGATTCGATTTTCGACAAGCGGTGAAGTCACTGCAAGATATATCAACTTTATTGTTGAAGTTCTTAGAATTGTTTGAAATCAAACTTTATTCGTACAGACTAGTTTCAAAAGAAATATTGATAGTGAAAACCATGTTGGATTTCGACGAGGCAAAACATATCTTTAGGAACTGTTGTTGTTGTTTGTTATTAAGCACAAAGCCACACAAAGGGCTATCTGTGCTCTGCCCACCACGGGTATCGAAACCCAGTTTCTAACGGTATAAGTCCGCAGACATACCGCCGTGACACTGGGGGGAGGGGGGCTTTTAGGATCTAGTTTCATTATTTAAAAAATGTGCTACATTCGGTGGTTCGTTCCTTACCCACTTATTTGTGTGTTTTCCTCCCTTTTTTCATAATTTACATACAATAAGTATCTTGCGCCTATATATTGTGTTGTTTTTAAGCATGTGAAAATATTCATAATCTCTCGAAACTTAATGTAAAACTATTTTGGTGTTTCACAGCAGGCCTTTCTTCATATAAATTTTGTCTGACAAGAATGAAAACGTTTATAAACAAACAAATTTCATAAGTGAGGATATGCAAAAAGGCATTTTGGACAAATGTGCAACCAAATAGCCATTAATACAACATGTCATTGTGTTTAATTCCAAAAGATTAAGCCTTCTGAATGCCCTTATTGTTTCAGTGTAACTTTTAGTTGCAATTTTTATACTCTGTTTTGAAAAATAACAAACACCTCGTTACTTTGCCACTACCAAACTCTAGACTGAAAATTCTGTCTTAATTTGTCCTTGGGCGTGGAATGTTTGGCATTTTACCAGCAGGTGAAATTGGTGGCTGAAAGTTATGGCTACTTTTAGATAAGGATACACAACGTATACTGGGCGTGGAAGTTTTCTCCTCCCTGAGACCCTCCTCAAAGTTAACTTAGGCCCAAGGTGGGATCTAGGTTAATAGAATGCGGTTTGCAGGGGCGATATTGTGGAGATGTTATAGGAAACCTACATAAATTTATTAAGTATATGTTTCCACCAATTATTTTATTTTATTTTTTCTATTGAGAAATAACACTGCCGTGCAATCGTATCTAAAACTGTCAGGAAACTAGCCTGATACGTTTTTGTACGTTCAAAAGTAACAATATTATGAAGCCTAACGTTATTTAAGTGTATTTTGCCCCCTTCCCCCATTTCAGCCCCAAACATCTCCCATGTCTTACCATGCGTGTGATAAGTAATTCTGCTATTAGTATTAGAATATAATCATTATCACTCGCTGATTGTTTCTTGTTGTTTTAGCGCAAAGCTACACAATGGACTATATGTACTTTGTCCACCGAAGAGAATCGAACTTCAGGTTTTAGCGTTGTAAGTCCGTAATCTTACCGCTGACCAGCCAAGGGGCAGATGTTTCTTATCATTGGTAAAAGTGACATACACCGTGGTCGTAGTAATTTAAAGAAAGATTTATTAAACTTCATCAGTATTATATTTAGCAGTCATATGTCAGTTTCGGTAATATGTGAGCTTTTATATTGTGTATAAGTATGAAAGTGAATAACTACAATTGAAAAAGAAGTTGTCAATACCTAAACACACATTGAAACTGAACTCGTGGAGAGGTTTTGTTGACTATGGTATTTCATTTCTTTTTCAAAATGTGTGAGTAGTTATTAAACGCCATAATCAACAGATTCTATTCATAAGTTCATGCGCTTTAGTTTAAGTGTGTTTAGACCTCTACTGAGAATTAAAATTTTTTTAAGTTTAAAGATCGAATCAAGTTGTTGATATTTCGACTTCAAATATTTAGGCAAAAGGAAATCCGAGAGTAAAATGTACATTATTTTATTGTTCTTGGGCACCAAATTAACAGGCGTGACCTAGCGGTTAGCATGATGAGCTTTGGATCCGAAGGTCCATGGCTCACGTCCCGTTTTCGCAAAAATCGCTCTACGCATTTTAGGGTCGTCGGTGCGTTATAACACTATTCGATTAGAATAGCCCAAGAGTTAGCGGTTGGTCTGTTGGCAAGCTGACTTACTTCTAATTTATCAATTAAAAATTAGGGACAGCTAGTGCAGATAGCCCTTATGTAGCGGATATCAGAAACAAACAAATAATCAGATACCAAATATGTTTGTAGCAATTGTCTTGAAGATCTATGTTGTCCAATATACAGAAATCGTAAGGCAATGTTTGCTATATATACACAGAAGTATTCTAAAATTATTTCTTGTGCATTTGCTCTGTGATGTTTATGGGAAGAAGTTCCGGCCTTATAGAAAGGCCCCAAGTAGCAGGGTAATCAAACCACATATCATATTGGTAGGTTGAGTACTTGTGAGTTTTTAGGGAAACTTTCTCCCTTCCATAGAATTTCTTTCTTTTTTTTTATATTAAAGGCTCGAATTAAGTGCCTAACCTTTACACTAAGGGATTAAACATCACAAACCATGTTGCACTTTTGCAAAAGATAAAAATGATAAAGACATTTTAATTTTAAATGTTTATTTTGACGTATCACTCTCAGTGTGAGGCCTCTAAAAGCTCCAGGCGTGCTCGCTTGCAGTTAAGACTGGCACTGCTGTGAAGAAATTCGGGCTCACCCAACCATAAATATCTACCATTAAAGACCATAAAAAACCAAAAGTCAGTTAGTGCCATTATGTTGAACAACAAATATTTATTCTGCTGTTCGCATAGTTATTCGAATTCAAAATCTATTCATTTTATAATTTCCAAAATAGCCAGAGTTTACATATGCGGTATTTGTGGAAGAGGGGATAGGAGTGCAACCTCAAATGCCTTCTGTTTTACTAATGCAGACAAAATTTAATTGATCACTTAATGCAAAATATTTCAGTTTGCTTAATATTATACCTCCTTATTACAAAATGTAATTTCTTACTGAATTTAAAATTATCATTTATATCTATTGGTAATGCTTACAGTTTATCTAATTTAATAGTTTATACTTTTTGCTCTCTTGTTTGCCATTTATAGTTAAACTTTAAAGGGTGAAATTACAGTTTAAATTAATCAACAATACATGTATATATATGAAACAAGTGATATTTTCACAGTTTGCTATGCTATAGTCTGAAAAGAAGTACTGCTACCTATGTCCTGTGTGAATAGAAATACTGCTATATGTCTTAACTATCTGTAAGTGTAAGCATCACTGAAAGAAGCAAGTGGACATTGTTGTTTATTTAACTTTCAAGCAAAGCCTCTGGAAGTCTTATTTCTCTCAAATATTTATTTTCAACTTTTACTTGACTGAACAAAAGTTGAAATTTAAACAGCAGTTAATCATGAAATATTTTAAAATTTCTTACTTTTAATTATGTTGCATACCTGAATATATTGGGGTACTTTAGTCTTAGATAATTTAGTCATGTTTCCTTTGAAACTCCCCCCAAAATTAATAATTTGGGGAAATTTTGAATGTTTCTTATTTTCTGGCATAGGTTTTGATATCTATTTTTTGCTATGAAATTTTATTCTTAAGAGAAAATGAAATTGTAAAAATTGTATAATATCTAAAATGTTTGAGACAGTGTGTATGTTTAATATACATAATTTAGACACTTATTGTGGCAAGAATCAATGAATTAGGGAAATCTCCTGTGTAATCATAGCTACATACAGTTTTCACACTTTCTTGTAAAATGTACATATTGAAATTTAGATAATATTGTGTGATTTTGCTAATTTTGTGTAAAAACAAACAAACTTTTCTCATAGTTTCAGCTCCAAATTATAATTTGTGAAATTCTTGACCTGTTCTGCAAGTATTTTATACATGATTTAAATTCTTTTATTCTTTATGTTCCAGTTTTTAGAGATGATTAAGCAATGCCTGGTGTGATTGGTTCACCATACATTCAGAACAGCCAGAATTCACAACAAAGGTAAATATCCAATTGTGGCTACTTTTCTGTTTTTATGCAATAAAATATATTTCGTCCAAGATATCAACTTCTTTCTTTTGACAGAATAAAATACTTGTAACCTCTTCCCAGTTCATGGAAATGAAAACAGTGTTAGGAAACAAAAATAAACCTAATCACTTTTACAGGAACAAAAAACCATGCTGAAAATCCAGTTTGCTTACTCAGAATTTATTTTATACAGAAATATAAGCATTATGAGTGATGATATCACAAACAGCATTGTGTTGTCTAAACTACCCATGATACCCAATAAATAACATACAGCTAAAATACATGTTATATAATATTCACCTAAGATTACTAGTTGATGACACTGATGTGATATTAAAGATTGGTATATGTTATAGAAATCAAGAATATAATATAAAATGTAGATATACTAAGTTTATTGCATTTAGTCCTCACCTACCACTTTCGTGAGACTTTTCTCCTGCCAATGCAAAATTGGAACCAAAGTAGACTTTTTTTAATCTATGGTTTTATCCCCAAATGAACCACATAACAGGAAAAAGCAAAAAAAAAAAAAAAAAAAAAATGCTAAAATTTATTTGGAGGAGGCCCTCAGACACTCTCCTTACCAGAGGCAATATACCTCTTTTCACATCAGTCTTCCTTTATTGAAGGTTCCCTCCTTCACATCCTCTGAGACAGAAATCCACCCTCTCAGTTTTTCTTGAATTTTGGCATCTCTGAAAACATCATTTCCAAGTGTACAAAATTAAGCCTAAGTTTTTTAAATAGCAGGCTACTATAGGATTTTGTTAATACAGGTTATTGGACAATTTTTCTACAGAAACATTGTATTAAAATTTTCATTCGATGAGTTGGAAAACAAACACATGTATTTTACAGTTCTGTTACACATGATAATTATAATGACTTAGAATTTTATGTTGCTAATGAAGCGTATTTATTTGTCACTGTTTCAACATTTGTAAGATATAAATATTGTTAACAAGCTATGTTAGTATTAAAACTTTCAAATTTATACAATATGTAGTTAAATAAAATTTACTGAACAATATGTTCTTCTGTGGGAGTGTTGATTTGGACTAGAAAAAATACTCTGCATATACACAATATTCATGCTGGTTTTATTATTCTCACTAATGAATATTCAGTAGTTAATAGTTATTGTTTCTATACTGGAAAATTGTTTTCAGTGTTATTTAGCTCTCAGTTATAGCTTACTATGCAGTAATGATAAAATATGGAAACGTTGTCTTTTAGGCAAAAAATATGGTTTAGAATACACAGCATATAGTTCATAGTGCAACAGTTATAAATTTACGATGTGTTTCCTATGATATTGTATATATTTAAAATAGATATTTCGTATATGAAACAAACTGATCATGTTTAAGATGTATTGAACATTTTCAGACATTAAGTTAAAAACTGACACCATTGTTCCACCTTATATTTTGCCTGTGTTCATAAAAGATGGTGCACAGTTCTACAAGATGTAATTTAGACACCACTTGTTAATGATATAGTAATATGTAATTTGTAAAGTGTTGTATATTAAATCACTTTAATCTCCTAGGTTTTAAAATTTTTAAGGTTGTTAGTATTCCCACAGAAAAAGATAAGAGTCCATTCATGCTCACGTTTAGCTTGTAAGTAGAGTACTTTTTGTTATGTATATGTTAATTAGCAAAATGACCTTCATGCATTTCTGATGATAATCATTTATGTAAAACTTGACCACATTGTTTTCTTTTCTTGCATTGACTTAACCATTTTTCAGCATTTTCAGATTTTATCACACTTTAACTGCATTTGTTTACAATTTATGTTAATTTAAGTCACTTCATTATTTAGTATCCCAAATTATTAAATTTTTTGGTTATTACTGTAACTATAACTGTTACAGATATAACTTCCTTTAACCATGTTAAAGTTTTGCTTAAGGTATTATGGTGCTTCTGAAACCTCCTCCCATATCCACCCTCAGTGTGTGTCTCAAGCATCAATGGAGCTGAGAAGTTGAGTGTTTGTTAATTATCTATGTCACTGAATTGGTAGTAGAACTGTCAAGTATGTAATTCAAAATGTAATCCTGCTTCTTTATCCATGGGTTGCAAGAGTTGATTGAAGGAATATATTGCAAAGAGTAGTCATTGCATAGTTAAGTTAGATGTTTTGCTACATTTTGAGATAAAAATTAAATAAAATCTTAATTCCTAATTTTTTAGAAAGCCAGTTTTGAAGCTCTGATACAAGATTTATAATTATTGAATTAAGAAATGAGTTAAAAGATGATGGACAACAGATTCAAGAAAGTTTTAAAAATACATTCAAGATAGGCTTGTTCCTAAAAAGAAGAAACAGATAACAATGAAGTTCAAACCTGACTAGTTTACTAAAGACATAAAGGAGAAAATCAGGGAGGGATAAATGCCGTAAGTTTAATAAATATAAACTATTAATAAGATCTGCAGAATTGTAGGAAAATTAGAGATTTGATTGGCAGTGAAACTGGTAATGCATCAAGAGTAGATATAGTTTTTTCCCAGGGTTTTTAAGATGGACAAATATCAGATACACAGTTTCTCTCTTTCATTTTTCTAGGTCAACATGTACTGGGCAAGTGCCTCAGGATTGGAGAGATGCTAAATAGTATTCAATTCCATTTTTAAAGGGATGATAAGAATTACTTTGGAAATTATAGACCACTTAGTCTTACTATTTTAGTGGTAAAAATCCTAGAGAGTCAGGTAAAAGACAGTTTGCAAAATTATTTAGTGAAATATGATCTCATAGAAGAAAGCTAATATGGATTTACCAAAGGGAAATCATACATTACTAGTCTGTTCTCATTTTTTGAGGATGTTACTTGTTTTCTGGGTTATGTAAATGGTTATGTCTTTTCACAAGGTGCTGTACAGAAGGTTAGCTAAGAAAATCACATTGGTGGGGGTTGGGTAAAGATTATTTAATTGGACTGTAGAGTGAAGAAGGCCTCAGTATAGAAGCCAAAATGTTCGGTATTTCTACATGTATTGAAGATGCTGTGGTACCACAGAATGATTTGGAACAGTTGATGAGTTGGACAAATACAGGGCAAATCACCTTTAATTATATTAAATGCAAGATATTGCATTTGAGACATAAGTTTAATATATTATAGATGGGAACCCAATCAGTAGTGTCAGTGAAGAAAAAGATCTTGGCATAGTAGTGAATAAATTACTCAAGCTAGTAGTAGAGCTAAAAAGAAGTTTAGGGTGTATTTATAGACATACTGATGACAAGTCAAAAGATATAATTATCTCTGTGTAAAATCATTAGATAGGCCTCACTTGGAAAAGAAAAGATATTGTTTCATTGGAAAGGGTTCAAAGGAGGCCTACTTGGTGGTTCCAGGGATAGAAGGTTCTCTTTTAGGGATAGGTTTTAAGATCTTTTAACTTACTTTCTCATGAGAAATGAAGAATACCAGTTGATCTTTTTAAATATCAAAAAATTGTTCAGAGAATAATCTTGTAAACAAAAAAATGCCTCTGATTCCTTTTGCGGTATTCTGTACATAATAGGATGAGAGGATAGAAGTTTAAGATTTGGAAAAGACAGCCTAGGCTTAGTTAAGACAATTTTGTGTTTCTTACATGTGGAATGAGTTGCTTTCAGCATTATTGGAGGCCAGCACTTTACAAAGAGTTTAAGAAAGAGAATCAATTGTTTTATGGAAAACAAAGGGCAGGTTTGAATTTTTTATATTTATATCAAGAGTGGGTGTGAAAGAGCAGTCTTGAAGAACCGTACTGCCTCTTGTAGTTCATTTTGTATCTATTTTTTATTAGCAGTCTCAAATTATTTTTAATTAGCTGGGGATGAATACTTTAGACCAGTGCATCTCAACTGGGTGAATGATTCACCCAGGGGTTAATGAGATCAGAATCAGGGTGAATGAGTATTATGAATTATACAACAAATTCAAGAGCAAAAAGTCATCAGTTATTATTATTATTTATTCTAGTTTGATAAATACATTTATTTTTGTTTATTTTATGTTGTATTCATTCTAGTTGTAGTTTGATGTATATTTAAGTCATAAAAATCACTTTTGCATTTTAATTTAGAACCTTTTTGTCTTTTTTTTCAAACTGTGGTGAGTGAGCTGTTGTGAAAAACATATAGGGGTGAATGATGTTGGAAAAGGTTGAAAAGCACTGCTTCAGACTGCTTCTAATTTTTTGTAAAAGCACCATGATCATATCACTTATACATTAATTGGAAAATGTTTAGTGTATTCAGGGGCAACATTTTAAATAATCTTCAAGTTAACTTACAAATGCTTGAAGGCATCCACATGGGTTGCATCTTTACCATTGAGTGTTCGAAAATTAGAAAAAATTGCTAGAATAAATGTTAATTTTGATTATGATTTATCAGTAAATTAGGAAAATGGGAAGATTACTTTTGGACAAGGGCCCAACAAATACATAATCTAGAGATGGTTAGATATCTGATAGATGTAGGTGAGAACAACCTTTTTTGTTTTTATCTCCAAATATCAAGAAATATGATCCTTATTTACAGAACCTGTTACTCTGTGTGTTTATAACTTTGTTATGTTGCTACCCTATGACCATGATATGCACGCAGTCTCTCTTTAGAGAATAGGAAAAATGTTTGTCTATTAGACCATCAGGATAGATAAATGTAAGAATTGTGATGAAGGAAACAAAGTGAGACTCAGCTCAGACTTGGTGGAAGAGATCACACTTTCTCTTGTTAATTGCCTAACGTTACAAAACACAATATGTATAATGTCCATTATTTTACTTTAAGTCCTGAAATAGCAGTTAATTATTATATGTGAAACCAAAATTAATGTAATTTCACTTTCTTACAGACCTAATTTTATTCTTCTCAAGAACTCTTCTCTCTGAATATTTTGTATATCACTCCATTCATAAAGGTGTTCATTAAATGCTCAAAAAACAACATCT